CCTTTTCAGGACCCCACCTTGAAGTTTTGGGACCCCACTTTAGGTCCCGACCCCAACTTTGGGAAACACTGCTTTAGTTCATTCAACATGTTTGGACAGTTTATATCATTTATATTTCACATTTATCCAAGTTATTTTATAGATACTTAGGACAGATCAATATAATTTTTATTTAACTTTTTGTGTATTACCATTTTATTTGCTGAAATTTTATCTATTGCCCTTATTTACACCTTTTTTAAAACTTTTTTTAACCTCTAGGTCTGTAACTTGTTGAGTCATTTACTAGTCTGTCCTTGTTTTGTGTTTGTTTTCTGWATCTTTAAGCAGAAAAACCAAAACATTTTTTTGTAATTTTTGGTGGAAATGTGCTTCCATCATCTGATATTTTATATGACAAATAAATAAATAAGAAGTCAATAATCATTTAAATAGCAAGATGAAAAAACTAATTACCTGAAGACATTTTTACCTTTTTTAAGAAGCCAGTCTCATTTATTGTAAAATCGCAAAGCTTTAAATTTTACTTTAGTTTTTCCATTTATTTTAACATTCTATCCCAAAACAACAATATTGAGTATTTAAAAATAACAACTATCACAATTAATTCTGCTGTTTTGTTTGACACTGTAGAGGTAGATTTCAGGCTATGCTAACTCTCAAGCTTCAAAAAAACGTAACATTAATAACAACAGTTTTAATCAAGAAAGCTTGTTTAAGGAGCCACTAATTCCCTAAACCATTTCTCCTAAAATCTAATTAGGGAACTAACCCATCCATGATAATAACAGTGAGATTGATTTRCAGAGCTGGTATCAGGTAAAGGGCAGCCATTGTAAACGGGTGGAGTGGCCCTCAGGATGTCAGGATCAGTGACGCAGACACAGCAGCTGTATCAGCAGCTGGAGGCGCAGCAGCTGCACGAACAGCAGGAGAAACGGCAGCACTTTGAGAGCAGCTACTACCTGAGCAGCAGGTCATCTGTTAGCAAGCAGTCGTTCTCCACCCACAAGACCCACAAGAGCCTCGAGACCCACAAGAGCCTCGAGACCCACAAGAGCCTCGAGACCCACAAGAGCCTCGAGACCCACAAGAGCCTCGAGACCCACAAGAGCCTCGAGACCCACAAGAGCCTCAAGACCAGCAGCCAGCGGTAAGAGAACAGGAGCCAAGCCAGTGTAGCCTGACATTTTCCTTCATTTCAGAACAGCTAGACATTTTTTATCACTTTGATGTGRAAGAAATGTGTTCAGGAGCTGCAGAAAGTAACATAGTTTAATTCATGTTTTCATCCAAAGCTGATAGTTTGAATGCTGAGTCAGTATTCACACAATAAATGCTTCCCTSTTATTTGTTTGTTTCATACTTTTTAAAATTTTAATTAAATGACTTCCTCATGTGATTTAAATAATCAAAACWTTCCGCTTGATTTGGAAAAGTGGGCTTTGACTCTTAGTATTTGGAGCTTTTACACTTTTTGTGTTAATTC